AAGGTACACTTCATAGTAAGACAGCCAAAACTAAGAGAAACAGAAACCATCCAACTTTGAGATTCACGTCACTGGGTGAGAAGTTTTTGAAAACAGGATGAACTGGTGTCAGATTCGGGCAGTTCCAACAACATTAACCAATTAACAGATTAAATGAGGCAGTCTAATGCAAGCAAGCTTCCCTATCAATTTCAAGGGAGAAGTTCATCTCTGCCTCTGATGCCCCTGTACCTTCACATGGCTGAACCATTCTTTGAAGTGAATAGAGACATCCTTGTGGGCAATGCAGCATTTTCGTAGGCAAAGAATTTCTACCCTGGGGCACATACATTTATGTATGTTAAAAACAAAAAGGTCCATTGTATGTATTCTATTCTATTCTATTCTATTCTATTCTATTCTATTCTATTCTATTCTATTCTCAAACACCAAAATTTACACATACATTTATATCTATTAACTAAAATTCTGATAAGAGCATATTTACCTTTTTCAAAGGAAACCTTTACCTTGAGTAAAGTATCCAAGATTTAACTACTCTTGTTAGGGTCTTCTGCCTATGGTATATTATTATAAGGGCTAATATTCTGGGGAAGAATCAGTCATCATAAATGTATTCACATCAGCAGAAACTAAATTAAAAAGCTGCCTGAATTCCTTACATGTTTAATTAATGGAAACTTGCCAAGTTACATTAAATGGACACAAAGACATTTGCAATGGAACACTATGAACACAACTGCCTGTTTCACATGGTAAACTTCTGTGAAATAGTAAAAACTTTCCCAAACAGTCCGTGATACGGCACAGAAGTTTGCTGTTCAAAAGAAAACAAGTCAAAAGTCCCACAAGTCATGCACGGACCCTTGAACGAAGAGTGTTGCTTATCCCGCTTGTCTATCTGGCCACTGTTACAAGCCTGGCATGGCCGTCGCTTTAGCAGCCAAATAAAATGCAGCAACTGCCACAAGGAAGAGGGAAAGGAGGACAGTGGTGACTGCATTCTCACTGCCATCATCAGAAACAATGTCGTACAAAAAATGAATAGAATGCACAATAATGATCACAAACAAAAGTTCTGAAACAACAACACAATTGAACAGTATCTGGTAATTCTTTACTATACGGTAAAGCAACAATGGCATATCAAAGGCTTTGTTTAAAAAGATGGGTGTCAGAAAAATTAAGCGACACCATTTATTATCTCCAGTTACCCTGTTTCACACTTGTCCTTCAGTTCGAGGGCTCATTATACATGTTAGTTTTATTCTTCACTTAAATGGTCTGTGTGGCGGAATGGTGCTCTCTGACCTGTGGGCCCTGCTCCGACTCAGCCCTCTGAGGCATCGAGGCACTAGAGGTCATCCCGCACCTCAGCCTGGCACCGTGCCACTCTCCTGGCTCACCCGACTCTGAGAGGGGCTCTTCCACACTTCTCCGAACCGGTCAATTTTGGAATTGCCCACCAAAAGGGCCAGCACTCCCAGCTTCCCTTTAAAGTCTCCGCCTGGCACCCACAGCTCCCACTACCCAGCAAATGGTTAACATGGGGGCACCTCGCCGGATGTGCACACTCCCAGGAAATTAGTGATCCAGCAACCAACCACCTCCCTTCCCTTGGTGCCCATTTTGAACAGCATATTCAGACAGTGGAGGTCTGTGGATTTGGAGAACCACTACCTACCTACGAACCTACCTACCTTCCCTGACCTATAGGTCTTAAGTACTGTTTATCAAACATAACTGGAAATATGAGGAAGCCAGAGATGCACACTATGAAAACAACTCTTTTCTTGTAAGTTGCCCGAACTCTCATGGCCTGAACTAAAAGTTTAGCTAAAATGAGTATATTTTCTACCCTTCAATCTGCTAGTAATTTAGAAACAAGGATGTCTACTGAGGACTCAGTCCTCTGTTGTGTCAAAGGTTTAATCAATTTCTGCCTTGCCTCATTGTTCCAGGGACAATCAAATAGAACATGTCTTACAGATTCAATAGCACCTAAACCACAGCTTCAACATCTATTTGAGAATGGTATTATGCCTAATGTGTGGCTTTCAGAAACGACTGAAGGTAATGCTTTTAATCTTGCAAGCATAATTGCTCGTCTGTTCTTCGGGACTGCTAAGCTGAACAAATACTCCAGAACTGTAAATGATTCAAAATAGTAAATAATTCATTAGAAATCCTCACACATACTCTGCACAGCAACAGACTTGAGCAAGGAAAACAAAGGTGCAAAGATGCAGGCCTCTGTCCCTCAACTGTAAACTGGTCCTATTCTAATGTATGCTCTTAAAGCTTAGATGTTACAGCATTCTGAAAGCTTCCCATTACCTTGAAGTCTTTGACCAGGCAGCCCTTTGTCTGTTCCATGGAGCAATGGCAGCCATCGAGATGCAGGCTATGTGTGAGAATTCCTTCCTCCAGATGAAATCAGCCAAAATGGACTCTATGCCAAGGGGTTTTATGTCTTCTCTGCCCACAACATTTGTGGGTCGAATCTCTTCTTCCTGGGGTCTCCAGGAAGATCTTATCTAGTCTCCTGCACTCCCAGACTGTCACCTTCTGGGTGTTTAGATTCTAGCTAATGTGTCAGCTGACCAGCTGGCCATTTCTTCACCTCTGGCCAGGATAAAGTATTTACAAAATGTTGACAGCTTGGTACTCACTAGAGCAATAGGCGGGATGGGCAATATGTGAGAGCAACTGACTTCTCTCCTCCTGCTTGTCTTTGCTCACAGAGAAAAATGCTTATAAACTGGGTTTGTGCAGAGCCCAAGCATCAAAGTAAAATGCATTTCTCCAGTTTGACAACAGCTACCTTGGAACACAGCAAACTCCACCAGATGAGACCCAGAAGTGTAAGAAGCAGCACCAATGTGACTCACACTTCCTTTCTCATTGCATTTTTGGGATTTTTAAAGTGGCTGCTCCTCAAACAGGCAACATAAGCACATCAGCATAGGGCCTATGCTTCCAGAATTACAAATGGCAGCACTAGTCTAGTTAACACTGTGATGTTTGCCTGCACTATTTAGGAATGTGGTTGTGAAGCCAATTAGCATTATATTCTTTGACACAGCAACTGGTAAAGCCCATTCTACAGCAACCTTTAGACTGGACTATTTAATACCTTATTTCTCATAAGCTGAGTGAAGCTGAGTGTCTAAAGAATGAATTCAAAGATGGTGAGGAAACAAGAAATGAAGCCAAATTCAGAGGACAATTAAGTAAATTTGATTAGAAATATCTGCACACTGTATTCTTCTGTTAGTTTCTATTAAGAATATTTACATTCATTTCTGCATCGTGAACAAGGTGGAAAAATGGTTCTACTTGCTCCCAAACTTTAGTCAAAAGGGGAACACTGCAGATATTTGCCTGCAGCAGAACAGCAGCTCTATACTTGTCTGTGTCTATATTTAGGTCACTGCAACCAGTTACCGTTTTACAAGGACAAAAACAAGGCCAATGGTACTCACTAAGCATTTCTTAGCCTTGTATGTATATCATCTATGGTGGGTATTACAAAATCAAAATATCCACAAATATAGTTTCTAGATACAATATTTTACGGCTATATGATCTTTGCTACCAGGCAGCATTTTTAAAATCTCAGCAGCACACACACACACCTGCTATTCTTCTCTAATGTTTTGAGAACTCCAGCATCTCAGTGCTTCAGACTTAATTTTAAAAAATCTGACATGTAAAATGTCTATTATGCTGGTATAAATTGCTACAGGAGACAAATTTCACACATCAGCATCTTAATTGCACTGCATAGATTATAAACATTTGAAGTGGGGGGTCAGTAATTATGATGGGGTAAATGAGTTAATCCCTTTGTGAAAGATTTTTTACTTCTTTTAATGATGCGAACTACTTTGAATCCAATCGATTAGGACAAAAAGGCGCATGCTCATTTTAAAAACAAATAAAAGCACAAGTGAATTAAAAAATCAGATGAAAACTCCTTAACATGCATTAATATTGGCAACTAGCAAGCCCTTTTGAGTGGCTTTGGCAGCCAAACATTCCCCAGCCTTCACTCACCACGTGCACATGTATGAATTCATACTGGTCATGTGAAGCTTCCCTTTCCAGCTCATGGCACAAGAAGCTGAGCAGTTACTCAACAGATACAGCACAGTTGTTAATATTTTAAAAGGTTCAGGCAATGCACTTGAACCTAAGGCAGCAAGAGGACTATTGCACACACACTCTGCCCATGTGCACTGCTGTCAATAAAGCTCAGCTCCACAGAAAGAAAGAAAAACAGCCATCACAGCACATCCTTCCTTATGGCCTGATCTGCCACCATCTTCACTGACTGTGGAGGTCATCAGAATTCAATTTATGGTTGTCATTGGGGAATGTGTTTGGGGATTCCTGTTTTGAATTATATCTGTGCTTCCATTTACACCACTCATGCCCATTTAAACCCCACCCAAACTTCCCTGATTGTACTGTAGTTTATACCACTGTTGCTTTTAGCAGAGTTGCACGGATCATGAAATAACAGATTCAGATATTATTTTCAATATAGAAAAGGCTATTTTTATTTGGTTTTGCATATATCTGGAGGTCAAGGCTTGCATACTTCTCTATACATAAATTTAATTGTGACAAAAGCTCAGTTAAACAGCAAAATTATTTAGGAGATGGCAGCATTACAGAACAGGCTAATTTCTTCCAAGTCCACAGAATCAATATCTCAGATCTTATAGCCTGAAATGAATTATCTGTCATTTTTTGCTACAAGCCAGTGAGTTTTAAAAAACCAACAGGCATTACCTAGAGAACACACATTAAATGAATTGGAAAGCATATCTGAAAGACAGAAATATGGTAAATACAAAGTGACATTAAAATATTGCTACTATTGAGAATGAGAAGATGATCATGACTTTCTGAAAGAAGTGGTATATTGTAGCAATAAACATTTGAAACTTAAACGGGAGATAATTAAAAGCTGCTAAAAGACTACCTCTTACCATTTAACATTAGAAGATTGTCAGTCCCTGGATGTGGATAATTCAAGCGACCTAGGAACAAATATAGACAATTTAGCTATTTATACTTAAGGAAGGAAAGGCAAGAGACAAAAAAGTAACTACACTGAAGTTTAAATACATCTAGAACTCTGCTTGGTAGATGCAAACCAGCTAATTTTTCTCTCCATGAGCAAATACTACCCTTGACCCAACTTAAAGCTGAAAAAAAAGAACTTCTTAACTTCAGTTCTTTGGTCATAAGATCTGTAGTCTGCTCTGGGATCGACTCCAAGAGGATAAAGGTCCTCTTTGTTTCAAGAAAGTCAGAAATAGTGCTAACTACTTCAGGCCTTTTTTATGTTCAGTATGAAAACTTCTGTATAGTTGCTTAACTCAGTCACACTGGGAAATTTCAAATGGCTGAAAACCCACATGCAGGATTTGAAGTTTCTCTTCAAACTAAAAGCAATACTTCAGATATTTATTTTTCATCAAATCCAAACTTTTTAAGGAATATTTTAATTTATTTTGATGTTTTAAAACATCAAGAAAATTTGCTGTAATCCCCAATTATGCAACCAAGTTCTTCAACTTTTAGAATCCTGTCTTCAAGAAGGGCAGTGACAAATAAAGATGTGTTGATTCACGGATGATTGGGAATACAGATTTTATATCAATGGAAAGCTAAGTGTGGCCCCACTTGAGGATACTTAAATCTAGAGACTGGAGCAGCGAATGGACAAGACAGATCTTTCAATAAACCTGAAAAATGCCTCCGGTTTGCAGAAAATTTGAAATAAAAAAAATACCTAGGTTAAAAAACAACCAAACAACAACCCAAAACGATAAAAGGAGCACCTATAGCTTTAATAAACTGATGCCCTCAGTGGCTTTTGCTAGGCAACTAATACTCCAGGCTTAGTTCCTGCCTGTCTTCACCCTCTTCCTCAGAACCATGGGAGTGAGGCTGGAGATTGGCCCATCCTTAGGGCCGGCCTGGAGGGTAAGCCCCTTCTTTGCTGTCACCAGGCCCCTCGCCACACGCCACAGGCAAGCTCCTCGCCTTGCCACTGCTGGCTTTTGCCACTGCTGTGGGCTGTGGGGACACTATCACTGCCCCTACACTTGAGGAGATGCTGGGTATCTCACTGCTGAGCAGCTGGGACCCCCCCCCACCTGGCCACGCTCCCTGGCTCTCTGCTGACGTCAGGTAAAAGACCAGCTGTTCACCATCATGCTGGGGCTCCCAGGGTGATGACGAAACCCTGCAGCATTCAGCAGGTGGGGGGGGGGAGTCCAGGGTGTCCACCAGCCTTGGACGATAACAGCACAGATAATGTATCTTGCTTGAAACAACTTAGTAAGGTGTAAGGTTATTGTCTCTCTTTTGATATATCAACACATAAAAAAGAACTGAACAAACTTTTGTAAACTACTCTTCTGACAAGAACCCTAGTACCACTTTTAGAATCATGGTGAAATGAATGCAACACTATTTCTAAAAGCACTGGCATAGACTTTGTCAAGTTTTAACTTAAAATGGATATTCCGGTCCATACTTAGCTTTGTGTTGGAAACCAGAAGATCTCTGTGCGTTTGATGTACTTACAATGACACTACCTATTGTAATGCAATGTATTCTTTAAAAGCTTGGTTTTCTAACAAAAATTTAACTTTGAACATAGTAAAGACATACATTCAATATATTTAAACACACATACAAAGATGTTTAGTAATATTCCAGACCAAGGGTGTCAAACATGTGGCACGCGGGCCAAAAGTGGCCCGCCCAGGGCTTTAATCCAGCCCGCAGCTCTTGTCCCCCCTCCCCTCCCTGTCCTCAACCTTCTGAGCTGCCGCTTAGTGCAGAGAGCAGAGGGCAGGGCTGCTTTCCCAGTTCCCAGCCACGTGGATCTGGGGGTAGAGCTGTTTATTCCCTTATGTCTGCTGTGTAAAGGGGAGGGAGCTTGGTTGGTAACACTGCTGTACTTTGGGGTATTTTTCTTTTGTATTGATTGCACTGAATGAAGTAGCAGAGTCTCCTGGAGCTGTTTCTTTAAGTCTGCTTTGTGTGTGTGTGTGTGTGTGTGTGTGTGTGTGTGTGTGTGTGTGTGAGAGAGAGAGAGAGAGAGAGAGAGAGAGAGAGAGAGAGAGATTACATTGCTGTATATTTCGGAGTAGTTTTCTTTTGCATTGTGCACTGGAGGCACAACCTGTGTGAAAGCTCCCATATTTGCCAATTCTGGGTTGGGAAATACCAAGAGATTTGGGGTATGGGGCCCCAGGACGGCACAGTTAGGGGAAGGGGTGGGATGTCAGCAAGGTCTAACTCCATGCACCTCATCCTCCAAAGCAGCCATTTTCTGCAGGGGAGCTAAAATCTGGAGGTCAGTTGTAACTCCAGGAGATCCCCAGGCCCCACCTAGAGGTTGGCAACCCTATTTACAGGCCGGCCTGACAAAGTCCGATTTATGTCAGATCTGGCCCTCATAAAAATGAGTTCGACACCCCCAGGTCCAGACATTTTTAGAAGCTAAATCTGAAACACATGCTTAAAAATTTCAAAAGCATTCTTTCTACCATTGCAGGATTGCATGCAATAACAGTTTGATTTCACTCAAATTATAACTTGAGACCTAAGAGACCTTTTTTATTAACACCATACTAACAGCAAACAAGGTAAGTATCTGGTAGTGAAAGTATAGGGAAGTTTTAATCTGCTTTCCACTGGAACCCCCCCTCCCCCGGTAAATTAAGGAATTTCAAATCCTGTTCTGGCTGCCTGAAGATAAATTGCTTTATTGAAAGAACTCTTCTATGTTCTGGTTTAAACAGAGAGTAGAGTGGAAACAGTCAGGTCATCTAATTACTGAACCAATTCAAGTTGGTATTACTGTGAGATCCTTGTATGTTCATTCTGACATTACTGTGCATGTAGCAGTGTGAGACTGACTCCACATGGGTGACAAACCTGTCTATGGTGTACATAAGCCAGCCATGTAAAGAAAGTGGGGGGGATAACATGATTCAGGAGATTTGTTAAGTTAAGAGAACAGCCTCTACTTTTTCTGAAAGAAAAAAAATGTTTTCAATTATTTTACTACAAAACCCTCCAATCCAATCATTATCTGAGTTAGTGAGAGAGAAAGAAGGGGCACACAAGCCCAAGGCTCATTTATGATAATTCCTTGGGAGGCTCCATTTAGCATTATTCAGTATGAACACACGGCACATTCAAACATTGCCACAAATTTCTGTTTTCTCACAGTTATTCTTATGCTTCCACACTCCCTCATGCCTTCCTTCGTGTGTAGAACAGAACTGCAAGTTTACTGGTTTTCAAAGCATTAATCAGTCAAACTCTGATCTGCCATGGTGTTCAACTGCAGGTCCCTGGGCAAACTGGATTTGTTTCTTCCTCACAAATGGGGATTTCTAAAGTGGAACTGAAAACAGGGTTGCACCCACCTGTAACTGATGTTCATTGAGGTCTTCTGTGCAATCCCACATTGAGAGGGACTGCAAATCTGCAGGCCTGCCACAGCAGATCTTCTAGCTTAGAATCCTTAGGAGCATCCGCATGCCCACTGGAACTGTTGTAAACATCTCCCGCCCAATGGTCACACAGTCCAATGGCACAATGCCCCTTTCTCCCTCAGTGCCATCTTCGCCGCCACAAGCATCCTTTGGTGTGAGCTCATAGCGGGGCAGGTGGGAGGGAATGTGTGCCTGCACAGAAGACCTCAATGAACATCAGTTACAAGTAAGTGCGACCCAGTTTTCATCTTTGTCTTCTGTGCAGTGCCACATTAGGATTTCAGAAGAAGAAGAGAAGAGAGGAGATTATACCCCACCCTTCACTACCCAAAGGTGTCTCAGAGAGGCTTACAAACTCCTTTCCCTTCCCTTCCCCTCCCCACAACAGACACCCTGTGAGGTAGGTGAGGCTGAGAGAGCTCTGAAAGAAACTGCTCTTTTTTCAAGAACAGCTGTGCCAGAGCTATGGCTTGCCCAAGGTCATCCAGCCGGTGCAAGTGGAGGAGTGGGGAATCAAACCCGGTTCTCCCAGATTAGACTCTGCGCACTTAACCACTACACCAAACTGGCTCTTTTTAGCAAACTCACCACTCAGGAGGCGGGACAAGCTCATCAAATAGCACTTCATTGAAACATAGATTGTAATAAAGTTTTGCCCACTGATAGTTCCCTTCGTGCATCCAGATCCAGCATATAGTGTCTTACAAATATGTCAGCAGAACACAGTTTGCATCCAATGGCTTCAGAGGCTTGGTTGTGACCTCCCCTTTCTCACCTATCGCTGGCTCCCCTTGTGGCGAGCCTGCAAGCCTGCAGCCCCCTTCTCTTCCCAGGTAGGCCAGCGGTAGGTAGCAGGCGGCCTCACCTCTTGTAGGGGCCTCGTGGGGGCGTCAGGGGATATCTGCAGTGCGGGGGCCGTGGGTGGCTCTCCCATCCCTGGGTGCCTGGGGAGATCGGGGGCCCCGCTCGGGTCAGTCCAGGCTGCCAGACAGTCTGTGATGAAGCCTTTTTTCCATTCAAAATCCCCACATAACGAACAAAGACATCTCTTTGTCCTATCTAAGTAAAATTATATTGCCCTTATAATATCAAGTGTATGCAGCCTTTTTTCTGCCTCAAAATCAGGTGTTGGGGGGGGAAATCTGGTAAGATAACTTCTTGAGTCAAATGAAACTTTGAAACTACCTTGGGAAGAAACTGTAAACTAGGCTTCTTTCCTGAAATATCTTTAAGAAAGGAGAATCCTTATGCAACGTGGCTAATTCACTTACTCACCTTGCTGACATAATTGCTACGTTGTTGCCAATGGTTCAAATGGCTTGGCCATTAACTGAGTCAATACTAATGACAATGATCATTGTTGTATTAGTCTTGGAGGATTGGGATTAAGTAGGCCTTTAAGAAATTTCTTAGACAAACTATGTGAGAAAACCATTTAACCCTGAATCATGGGATGGTATGCTGAGATACCTTCCAGACGAGTGAGACAAGCTCTTTTCCTTTCAACTCGAGTAGATACTCTAATAAAGAGCTAGAGGTGCCCTTTTGAGCAAAGCGCCTTTAGCTAATGACCATTCCCCAAACCTGCTCCACTTATTGCTGTATGAGCATCTTGTCGCCGGCTTTCTTGCTTGTATCAGTACTTCTTTAACACCGGAAGAGCACCCGAACTCCTGGGTAGACTCCTCCAATCTGTCAAATGTAAATTTGCCAGGTTGTGATGTCTTTCCTGCCCTATACTAAACAGACTGAAAACTAATGGTAAGTGAATGTACAGCCCTTTGCACAACTGTTTTAGGCTGGTAAATCACATTTGTCTTGGCCAGAAGGGAGCAATCAAAACAAAATCTGAGTTCTCCTGAACGATCTTTGCCACCACTCTCCACATTAGTGGAATGGGAAGGAAAGTGTAAAAGAGCTTCCCCACCTATTGAAGCTGGACGGTGTCCCCTGTTAGCCAGCAAGGAGCTTTTTGCCCTGTTTATGAACTATGTCTAATGTGTGCCAAGGGACTATGATGATTGGTGACCAGACTGAGATGCCAGATATGTACCAGCAAGAGCCTGAGAACATGGATCCCAAGTCACTCCCTTTCAGAGATGTTCCTGTACACACACAAAGAGCCAGGCCAGCAGTCATTTGCTTTGGCTGTTCAAACAAAGAACTTACTTCACCTTCACCTGGCATGTTCTCCCCCCCAACAACTTCGTCAAAGGATTAAGTTTTTCCTTAACAAAGGAATTAGCTCGGCAACCCACCTACCCACCTGGAGAACCGGTTCTGCAGTCTCAAGACAAAAGAGGACAATCAATGCTAGCTGCTGACTCAATCATCATGCTAATCAGGTGTCTTTGGGCTACCAGCTTAATTGCATCAATCATTGTCCAAGCTAAGCCCCTCACTTCCACTGCATAAACTAATCAGAGAGGGACTGTGTCAAGGGAGGAGTCCAGCAAGCCCTCCCCATGTGACACCCCAGAGGAGGTGGGCCAAGTCATGTGACTAGGACATGTGACCACCTGAAGCCACCCCCAAGGGACATGTGGCTAGCCTGGCCCAGCCTCCCAAACCCACCTTATAAAAGGGGACAGCCGGCCATGTGCTCTCTCTCTCTACACCCCCTCAACGACCGCTATACTCTCTGACTCTCATCCTTGTAGCAATCTGCTACCCATCCTACCCCAGGCTTTTAGTCTGCAGCTAAGGCCTACCTTGTGCTTTCTGCTGGTCAGTCTGCACACTCCATTTTCCTAGTATAATCCCCATTTTTCTAGTATTCCCTTATTTTTCCATTTGGCAAGCTTCATCTCTTCGGACCAGGTAAATATTGTCAAACCAAAGAATATCCTGCTAAAGCAACTGTGTTAAGGATCTATCTTTATTTCCTAGCATATGTATAAATGTGTGTGTGGTTGTGTATTGTTTGAATGATATATATCTCTCAGTAAAGAGACATTATATTTTACTGAATCCAGTCTCTGTCTGTTCAGATACTTACAGCAAGGGTGGGACTTCTGTATACATTGGTGAGAACCCTAATTTGCCTATTGCCCATTAATAATCATAACTTTACCTATACTAATTAATAATATAAGGCAATTTGGCTAACACCCCCAAAGAGAGAGAATCTCTTCCTGCTACTGAACATATTCACCCTTGTTGCAAACAAATCTACCTCCTGGGTGCCCCACCTCTGGAATATAGGGTGTAAGTAACTGTTTAGAATGGACCATTCGTGGTTCACAGTCAGGGCCCCACTGAGATACTCTGCTTGACCATTCTGACTGCCTGCAATATGGATGGCTTGGAGGCCCACTCCATGCTGCACCGCCCAATGCCAAATCTCTGCTGCTTCCACTGACGTGAGTCGGGACCCAGTACCTCCCTGTTGGTTTAGGTAATACATGGCTGAAGTATTGTGCATTTGAATGAGCACCAATTTTCCCCAAAACATATCTGTGAAAGAAGTTAGAGCATGCTTAATCACTTTTAATTCCAGAATATTTCTATGGAGTTCTCTCTCTCCTTGATGCCATCTGCCCTGAACCAACTGGTCACAACAGTGTGCACCCCAGCCTTCTAATGATGCATCTGTAGTTACCACCACTTCATGGGGATTAAACCCAAATGATGCACCCATAAACAGATATTGCTCATCTGTCCACCTAGATAACATTCTGGTCACCTTTCAAGGGATAGAGAATTTTTTGTGTTGGGAATGTAACATTGGTCTAAAACGTTGCAAGAACCACAACTGAATTGGTCTGATATATAATCTAGCTAGGGGGAAGAACAGCCATTGTAGAGGCCATTAGGCCTAACAAATGCTGTATAGAATGCGCAGTTTGAAAATGGTTCACCATGAAGCGTCTAGCCATAGCTTTAATGATTGCTCCCCTATCTGGAGGTAGGACTCCTTTTCCTAACTTTGCATCTAGAACTATATCAATAAACTGAACTTTTTGCATAGTTTCCAATTTAGATTTCTTCCAGTTTATCACTAAGCCCAACCTTTCACAAGTATCAGTGACCAATTTTAAACCATCTTCCAACTGTTCTCTACATTTAGCTACGACAACCAGTCATCGAAATAGAGATATATGGTACAGCCCTTCACATGTAATTGGGCCACAATCAGTGCCATGCATTTTGTGGGTGTGGGTGCCAACCCAAATGGTAACACAGTATATTGAAATACTCTCCCTGCGTATTTGAATCTCTGGTATTTCCTATGCCCCTTATGCATTGCAATATGAAAATATGCGTCCTTCAGGTCTAATACTGCAATAATAACTCCCTCCTCAGCAATAGCAACACTTGCATCAATGATGTCATATGAAATTTAGATACCTTCAAGAATTTGTTTTACATCCTCAAATCTAAGATTGGTCTATTCCCCCCCTCTTCCTTCTGTACTAGAAAGAAATGGGAGTAAAACCCAGTGGGTTCATCTGGGGCATCTATTACTTTTACCGCTCTTTTAAACATAAGCTGATATACTTCCTTTTGCAACCGGGGGAATACTTTATTCACAACTTTAACCACTTGTGTTCTTGGTAATGAATTAAACTCTTAACATACAACTCTTTCTAACAATACTAAGTACCCATTTATCCATTGTAACAGATCAAACTTCAAAATAAGCTATCAATCTGTTTAAAAAGCTATATGACTTCTCAGAGTCATGCTGCAGTGAACAGAATGCTCCTTTGCCCTGAGAGTGCAGCTCCTTCCCACCCTGTTCCTGGACAGACTTAAGCCTAGCCCCTTGCCTTTGTCTTCCAAACTACTGCTGTTGCTGGGAAAACCTATATGGGGTGGATACGCTGATCAGCTTTGATGGAAGGGCCTCTGACCTCTCTTCAGGAACTGATTCCGATGGAGCTTCAGGTCCTCTATCTGACAAAATGACATATTCATTTGACTCCTCCTCTGAGTAAAATCTTGGGTCCAGGGATCTTGGCCCATGTTGACATGCTACAGAAACCCCTGGAGGGCAACAAATATTCAGCTGTTCCGTTCCTGGAGTTATTTTATTATATTGACTCCAGTTTTGCAGGTAGTGAGGCCATGGCACCATAAGCGGAACAGCTGCTGGCTACGGAGCTGATTGTGCTGGTCTCTGTTGATGCCACAGCTCCAGTGGAAGGACTAGATCGGTCCCGATCTCTCCTTCTGACAGTGACAGTTCTGGGGAGACTGATTGCACCAATGGTGTTCTAAGCAGAGGCTTGGGAGGTGGTTCCGTCTCCTATCTTTGTTCCTTACTCAGAGCCAACTTATTGCAGTGATGTTTCGCCCCTGGTTTCCCAACCTCTCTATGCTTCCTTTTGCTCTTCACCTTATTGGCCGACAGCTCCGAGAGACTTCTCGGCACTGAAGGGGATCTGGATCAACTGGTGGCTGAAGCTTTATATCCGCTCAGGGCCGATGGAGCCCACTTCATGGAGATGACAGATGGAGCCTTTGATCTCTCAGCAGCTTGAGAGGCCAGCTTCTCTGAAGCCTGTAGGGCTTTCTCCTATAACAATGCCTTCAGTTTAGGTGCTCTTTCAGAGTGAGTCTTATTTGTAAATGGCTGACAAACCTTGCAATTTGACATATTGTGTCCTTTGCCCAGGCATAACACGCACAGGCCATGTACATCTGTCTGTGCCATCTCTGCTCCACACTGGGCACATTTCTTAAACAAGCTCATCTGATCCATTAGAGAATTTGATCTCTCTCTCGAAACACCAGCAGCAATTGCTGTTGCAACAGCCAAGCTCTGGAGGGATTTCTTCCTATGGGCCGCTCTTTAGGGACCATTTGTCAATTACCTTCTTAACTGATACAATGTCTCCCGAACACTAGAAGACAGATCTACTCCTTCCCGGCCAAGAAGGAACTGAGAGAGAAAGGGGCATTGTGCCGCTGGACTATGCGAACGTTGGGATGGAGACATTTACAACAGTTCTAATGGCCACGCAAATGTCCCTAAGGATTCTAAGCTAGAAGAAGATCTGCTATGGCAAGCCTGTCTGTTCACAGTCCCCTCCCCCAGTGTGGGACTGCGCAGAAGAGGAAGATGAACTGTGATTTAGAATCCGTGTTTGTGAGAAGGAACAAACTCCAATTTGCCCAGGCACCTATATTTGGACATCATGACTAACTTGGGTTTAAGATAACACTTTACAAACCAGGATGCATTCAGCCATACTCTGTACACAAGGGGGAGTAGTAGGGATGAAGGGCACAAATATGAAGACAAGCTGCATTTATGCCCATCAAAAGCAAATCTGTCATGATGTTGGCATGTGGCCCAAGTTCAACACTGACTTAATATATCCCATGATATTTTTTTTCAGAACAAGAATACAGCAAACCAGAATGAGCTCCATACTAACATACCTTTAAGAGGATCATGCTCAGCTCTCATTATATCAATAAGGGAATTCTCCAATGAGTGCATGTTCAGACTGTCATACATTCTGTTTCGATCCTAGAAGAGAACAAATCCTTAGCATTAGAGCTAGAACCAAGGAACAACTAATGTGTTTATGTGAAAAGTTCCAACATCTACCTAGGAATTTGGATTATCTTCTATTCTGCCATCATATACTTGCAATATATTAGAATATACAGACGGGAACAGTCTCTGTCTCTCATGATTATAACATTGGAGAACTATAAAGAACATACAGCAGTCAATCACAGTAAAAATGTTTGATTGTGTAACCAGAACCATCTAGGCAAACCTGTTCAGAGCATAATAGTACAACATATTAATCTTGATCGCTACAAGCTCTTCATTGTTCAGTGTAAGAAGGACTAGTTATTATTTTCCTGGTCTTCTCACTAATATATTACACATTATTGAAAAAACTTCAGGAAAAATAATAGGGAGAATTGGTAAGAAAGAGAGGGTGAAAAAATATCACTGGTCGTGTACTTCTTGATCAGTAACTAGTTTTCCTGCTGGGCCATTCTGAAGTATAAGGATAGAACGGGTATGCCAATGGGGGGAAATGTCTCTCAGAACCAGTTTTACCCCATGGGCTTCTAGCTGCTGGATCCTAACCATTAATACAGTCTAACATATTATCCTGCACTAATTATGTCTGATCTAACAATATTTGTCACTGCCCTGTAATAAGAATAACAAAACATATATTACTTTTAGCATCCCGTTGACACACTACTGATGGTTTACACAGAGAGAGACGTTGAAGGCCAGGGGAAAAAAGCCAAGAAAATTAGAGAAAACACTATTTTCCCCTTGCCTATTCCCTGCCTGAGAATCCCCCCCCCCCCAAAAAAATCAGAAATTCTGGGGAGCAGTGAAAAAAACCAAACATTTTCTCTTTTGGAATGAGTGAAATGCTTTATGAAAATGCTTTACTCATTTAAAATGTTTAGTATGAAATATTTTATGTAAGCAAATCTGTAGCATTAAATAACAGATAACTCTGGTGTATCCTGTAACATACAGATGTCAGAAAGATACATGTCCTACAGAAGCATAGTATCAGAGAGCCCTCTCTGATACTGGATATATTATTCACAATGGTGCTTGTATAACTTTTAAATATTATAAATATGCCACACAGTACAATGTTCTACGCTGATTTATAAATGATGGATTTTAGGTTATTAAAGTAATTATTGAATTATATTTCAATTTTCCACTAACATTTCTTGGACAAAAATGGATAACTAACTTCTTCCACGGCTTCAAAATTTCCAAGATTTTTACATCTTCATTTAAGCAGTGGACTCCTTGGACTCAACTGCTTAGATTTAATCCCTGTATCTCTTATTTCTTAACATAAAACTAAGATTTCCAACTTAATGCAGTGCAGAGATTGCAAATGGTCCTCTGAGAATCTCAATGGATAGGTTTATTTACATTTACTGATTAAAATATTTATACCTCACCTTTGCCTGTGGCTCAAGGAAGCTTACAAATCCATATTTAAAACATACAAAATTAAATGAAATTCCAAATACACTGATGCCTGACCCCCCTGTACATCTTTCAAATACAAAGTAGAGAAACGTTATTTAAACTTCTCCTTCCACAGAAGTGCAGTATGGATGCCTGGGTAGGCTCCTGAAAGAGGAGAGCTGCCAACCTCCAGGTAGTGGCTGGAGATCTCCTGCTATTACAACTGATCTCCAGGCGACAGAGATCAGTTCACCTGGAGAAAGCGACCGCTTTGGAAGGTGGACTCTACGGGATCAATACCCCGCTGAAGTCCTTCTCCTCCCCAACTCCACCCTCCTCAGTCCCCAAACCCCCAGGAATTTCCCAACCCAGACCTGGTGACCTTATGAAAGAGACAGCCTGGCATTTACGTGGGCCCCAAGAATGCCATCATTTTCATTTTCCGCAGAACTCAAAAAGGTCACAGGCGGCATGAAAATTCAGTTTGCATGCCCCACTGAAGCTATCTGCCAGGGCCGTCTATAATCTTGGGGTAGGAATGGAAGAAAGCCCTTCATTTATGTTAAAGATTCTTTGACAAGGCAGCCAATGTAGCTATTGCAAGGGTACCGTTCACCCAGTAAAAATACCTGAGCAGTTTTGCTATTACTGGCAAAGTCTATAGGGCACAAAATTACTGAATGCAGTAGCAAGAAATAAGCAGTGTTCAGCAAATCTAACGTCAATATCCAAAGGGCAAAATACAGATACCATTCCCATAATCTAGCATGGATTAGATGACACTCAAAAATGATGAGACTGCATGCATATTATGAAGAACAATGAAAACCAGATTGCCTTGCTAAAGTATACCATAGCCTCCATCTCCAGCTCTGACTCAAAGAAGTTTTGCTAAAGGCTACACAGAATTCAGAATGGTTTGTACTGGGGATCAAAACATGGAAAGGTGAAAAACAGCCCTCAAAAACAGGCCAATCTGATTTTCTCTTGCACTTGGGACTGTTGCTACACCAAAGACCAATCAGGAAATTCTTATTACCCCATACTAAAACTCACCTCAGCAATTGATAAGGCAAGTAAATTAAGAAAATCTGTATGTGGAATCTGAACATTAATCTGAACATTAACCAAGTCAGCACAGAGCAGGCTGCTATTTACAATCATGTACACTAGGCGAAAATTTGTACTGATGCAGCTTTGGAGGGAACCTGAAGACATAGCTAGCATATATCACTTCTCCACACTCCCATTTAATCAGCTGCTCTGCAGCTTTCGCAATCTGTAGAAACTGCAGCCATAGAGAATTACGGTTCCTGGTTAAGCAATGAATGCCAAATTCGAAACTGGTTTCACTGCCAGGCAGAGAGAATATGGAAATTTCTGAGAAAGAAACATTGGAACCTTTTTTTTTTTGGCCCCCCGAAGGGGATTTTTTAATTGCATTTTATATAAGGACTACAAACTACAATGAAAAAAGAGCTTAAAAACATACTAATAAGTGAAAATCCGGAAAATATATGTATAGTAGGTGATTTCAATGCAGTTCTAGATCCAAAAGAGGATGGGGGGGGGGGGGGAACAAAAAACTAGGCCCAGGACTGCCTACGAGTTTTCTAATGGTGGCAGAAGAATTTAATATGATAGATAGCTGGAGGACAAAAAAATCCTCAAAAGAGAGATTATACTTACTTCTCTCACAGGCACAGATCATGGTCTAGAATAGACATGATATGGATAAATGCAAATATGGCAAAGGAGTTACTGGAAGCAGAAATACTACCCAGTACTTTCGCCGACCACAACCCAATGTGGATAGCACTAAAAGAAAGTGGGAGGCCGTCGAAATGGAGATTAAATATGAGGCTATTAATGGACAAAAAAATTGTAACAAAAATTAAGCTAGAGATAAAAGAGTTTTTAAAAATAAATAAAACAGAAAATATGCCATTAAACATAGTATGGGACACCTTGAAAGCTTACTCAAGAGGATTATTTATCACACAAGAGATATGGAAGAGAAAACAAAAAAGAGAACTTTTTACTTTTGCAAAAATTTTAAAGTCTCTGAATATGCGCTCATATGCACCTTGATAAGTCTTTCCCAACAGATTTTAATGCTTTTGCTTCCACTCCCCCCCGTCTCGCTTTTAAGTTTATGCACAAGGGAGGGGCCCCTCCCCCGCTCGCTTTACTTCTAGTCCGTGGGGTGGGGAGCTTTCTTTTTAAATATCAAATACGCTTTAGTCCAACTCACTGTTCATATTCGGTCATACGACCTCGCTTAGCCTCCGTTTTAGCCGCTCGATCTCCAGCGCTTGTCCCGGTCAGCGTCACTAGTTCCGTTCGGACACTCAGCAGAGGGACCGTTGGGACAGAGAAGCGCCTCAATTCCCCAGCATCGCGCTGGCGAAGAGGCAACCTCTCATAAGTCCCCTGGCCAGGAGCCTTTCCCCGGGCTCCTGGGGGGGTAGTGATGCCTCGCCCCCCCTCCTTTCTGCTGGTACGCAGCTTCACCCCCGGAAGGTCCGGGAGGTGAGTCTGCTCAGCGCGCCACCATAAACCGGAAGTCAACATTGGAACCTTAACAGTCGAAAAGTTTCTATAATCAGGGCAACCTGATCAAGGCCATCAGTCCTGGAACTATATGAAAATCCCAGTCAAACTGGAGGAGATTCCAAAAAGGCAAATCTTAAGGGGACTTAAGAATTTCCCCCCAGGCTTCTAGGGGTCAGAAGAGTGGTTCCATTTCTGGAATTCTCTGAAAGGCAAATGAAAGAGGAATCTGCATCCCTTCTTTCCAATAGACAAAATATGGTCTATACCAAAAAAATTACACATTGCCTAACAACGCCATGGATTTGTTACAGATTCATCTGGTGGACGTACCCATCCTGGCTCTCATGCCAGGTACACTCATGTTCAAGGACGGAGAAGGGTCCCTCAAGGACCGGTTTGAATTTGCCCTCCTCGGCGCCCATGTGATCAGGGCCCTCTGCTACCGCCTCCCTTTTTGACAGGGCCTCCTTCAACTGATACTGGATAAAAGGGAGGGTAAATTCAGACTCCTAAAGGCTGCCTCAAATCATGGCAGATATGAGCTTAGATGCTCTGAGTTTCTCATCAGGAACCATTCAGATGTGACAGCCAGAAATCACCTGTGGTTGAATCTTAGGATGCAGATTATTATTCCAAGCTCAGTTTAGTGTCCATCCTTCCCTTTTTTGGGGGGTGGGGGGTGATTCAGATGCAACATCTGTGATATTTTAGTGGAAACTATGGTTAAGAAAATGGTAAGGGGGGTTATACTTAAGGCTGGCACACAGGAAGACCAATGCCAGAGAAACCAGCCCTTTAATTCCTTTTGGAACCAGTGCATTTTACTTTGCACCCATAAAGAAATCTGGTTCAAACTCAGACAAAGAAACAAGTCAGGACCGGCCCATAACAAAGAGTTCTCTCAAGGCAACAATAATGCTAGCAACAACTGATCCAACAGATTCTAATACGCCAACTGATGCTAGGCCCATTCCTATGAGGGATAACTCCAACAGTTT